CGGTGCAGTCGCGAGCGAAGGCTAATTACTCAGTTGACATTATGATTACGATGTGCATTAGCTGATATTATAGTATATTATGTATTTTATATTGATTGTGCCAGCACCCTACTTTCTTTCAGTCAATACTACTAACTTTCGCTTAGTTTAGACGGATGGGGACACGTCACCTTGTGAGATCATTATTTTGATAAATCTTCAGCCGATGAATGATTCAGCTCTGCGATGAGCGAGTAGCCACCCCACCCTGCTCTTGCCGTCACTGCAAAACGACGTTCCACACACTAAACACGTGTACATTACACGGGATCGCTTCACAAGGGATCGATACTCGTATATGTGGAACGTCGTTTTACAGTGACGGCAAACAGGAGTGGGGGTACTCTAGTGGTTAAAGCACTCATCTCGTCACGCCGAAGGCCCGGATCGATTCTCCACATGGGTACAATGTGGCGAAGCCCATTTCTGGTTGTCCCCTGACGTGATATTGCTGGAATATTGCTACAAGCGGCGTAAACCCAAACTCATTATCTTCACCTATTGCACGGTTTTGGAGAGACTATCAAATAGTAATCTCACAAGGTGAGCGTGTCCTACTTACATCCGTCACAAAACACAAGCGAAAGCAAGTCAGTTGTAAATCTTGAAACATATTGATAGAAGAAGTGGGTGCGTATATTTCCCAACTTTATTTCAGATTTATACCACAGACAACCAGCACTATATGCAGAAAACAATCAACAAGTTAAAGATACATAACAATATATAAATATCAACAATGTCATCGTGATCGTTAAGTGATGTCAGCCTCATAAGTGTGAAAACTTTAGTGGTGAAACATCTATTTCTAAGCTCCGACTGCGCAGCAAATATCTGTTTTCGCGGTCTTGTTCGTCTTGGACTTAGACCGGAAGTGACGGTAGTTGACTGGCGTAGTCCTCGTGCAGCATGGGGAATGTAGGTGTTTGGTTGACACTGTCGCTGAAACAACGAGCACCTTTGTCAGTAACCTTATACTTGTGTGATCTCTTGTAAAGCAAACGTTTGAAAATGCGTGATGTATTAATACAAATATAAAAACTAGATATGGCGTTTCTAAGTTTACTCCTCTGCCAAGTTGTTGCTCGTTTTAGATTTAGCCAAAGTTTGAGTCGAGTATAATTACTTTACTGAAACAACAACTGTGAACGCACCTGATGTTGTTCATAGAAAGCCTTGTAACCGCCATCCAGTAGGTACACTTCCGGGTAGAAGAGGAACGGGTAGCGGTCGCTGTTCAACTTCCGGTCTAAACTCCGCAGATGGCGTAATCTGGGTTTAAGAAAGATTGCATCAGTTGAGGAACACATGTCGTTATGAAATGTGCATCACAGCGTAAAACTGTTTCAATGCCAAGGTTTTCGGGTCAGTTTTAACAAAGTTAAAGGTGAGAGAAGAGAGACAGATCAAACCAGGTACACAAGGGCAACTTACAGTTTGGGCGCTCTCTCTGAGGAGAATCTCACAGTGGAAAAACCAGGATGTTCCGTTGAGTCGACTCCCTCTCTGTAGGCTGGTGACTAACTCCGAGATTTGGGCCTCGTTGTGAGATTGATGGCACCCTGTAAGAACGTGGATTTGGGGATGACAAGATGCACAGAATGTCTACTGGACCTTTATTAGGGATGTTTATGTTCTAGATAGATAGACTAGATATTTACATCATTGTTACAGTCTCAAATGACAACAAAATAACTTCTATTATTTATTTACTATATGACCACCCTCAGCATATTCATATGGGTAGCGACAGTCGATGATCTGCATACCCGGAAATGACGTCATCGTATTTCCCTGTCAGCAGTTGACTGACTGTGCGTGGAGACACTGACTTGAGATCCTTGTGTCGGCCTGTGATGGTCGGGAGCCTGTGACACTGGAGAACAAAATAATGACTTCATTATACAATCAAATATGACAAACCAAAATAAAATGAGCGTCAGATCCCGTGGACCATTTCAGCAAAACTTCAGTGCTTTATAAATATTTCCATGCATACATAGATTATTACCTTTGAGCCATCGCCAATCAGATTGATTTCCGCCTCCATTTTATCCACGCACAGCTGATTTCATGGATTGGGGATTCCAAAAATATAGAGCTCTTCACGACACACATGACGTCATCACCTCTAGATCTCTTTGCAGTTGGCTGTCATCCTCATCACGTGGCCGTTTTGTGGTGAGAATAAAGATTTTTGACTGAACTGAAGTCGGTGATTGTTCCGATCGACAGAAAAACAATTGAGAGGGGATCCCTGTAAAATGGAGAAGGGGAATACATTCATACCTGTAACAGGTTTCGTTTTGTTTTGTTTTTGGTAGAGTAAGGAAATAGTCCAGCCATATATGACCGCTGGACCAGAAAAATCCAGTGATTGATAAAATGAGAACAATACACGACGTGTCAGGGTATGGTGACGCCTCAATCCACCACCGAGTCAGACCACGGATCCCTTTCATCGCCTCTTAAGACTACTGTGCACGGGTTCCTGGGGCCTAATCTATCCCAGAGTCCCCAGGATCCTATGTTAGGGAATATTAAGATTACTCTCTGAAGGTGCATTGTTTGCATTTGGTTCTTGGTAAAGATATGGATGTGTATCGTGTGTTTACCCATACTTGCCAAACTTTAAAAAGCATGTTTTCTTGATCTGTGGGAAATAGTAACACAGTTTGACTTTCTTACCCTCGGAATCACTTCCGTGAGATTCGAAACCGCTGTCACAGTGAGTCATCGTCATCATCGAAAGTGAGGCTGCGAGGCAAGACGCCGGTATCTTCAGGAATAGAAAAGACGGCCAGATGTCACGCATGATCAGGACTATCAAGGCAAAGTGTGTTCATCAAGGACATTGCAGAAGGGGTCATTTAACCTGAAAACAAATATCGACAGTGTTATAAAATAAGGTCCAAATTCATATTATTAAGATACAACAGAAATGTAACTGATGTAGCACTGCTGAAGTACATCAAATAATATGTGATTTTTTATCTCCATCCTGCCCGAAGATGTTGATGGAAGTTATCATGATTCTGGTTGTAAGCAAACCATTATAACGTCTTGTGGCGGAAATCCTTTACCCGTAGTGTCTATGTCTTCCTGTTTTGGAAGCAGTGTAAAGTTTCTTGTTGTGACTGCCCTGTGTCTTATGCGCCACAACAGTAGTTAGATAATGATGCCCTCTCTGCAGTTTCCCAAAACTGTATATATATACCTACACACCATCAATGACCTGATTACATACACAAACTAATTAACAAATACTGCATACTATCGTTAACAACTTCAGTCTAATGACGGTGTAATAAGGCAAACAGCGTCTGTAACTCTGAAACAACAAACCCGACTAAAACGGAGCAATTATAGGAAGCTAGCACCTTGTGAGTGACCAGCGCTCCAGCTTGGGGAGGAAACGGTGATGGCTTGTGTGTCCAGCTGTTTCTATACGGGGATGAGGGAGATTATTCCCCCTGAGTGATAATCCAGGCGGGCACTCAAACATAAACCGATAATTGAAAGTTGTAATAAATGCTGATGATAGCCTGGAAATGGGTGATGGGTGCTTCATGCTACACGTGACAATGTGCAATTGCCTATGCAAGATTAGTTAACAATGCTAGCAGTATCAGCAATAATACACAGTATTAGAGGCGATGTTTGTACCAACACACTGGACCAGGCAGGAGAGGAAGACAGTGGTTCAATTTGCTTTCTTTAGGCATTAGGCGAATGTGTAAATATAGTTACACAGTTAATAAATAACATCCATTGAAGATTAAAACTCGTTGTTTGGCTGGAAAACAAAGGAATGTAAGATGACTGCCTCTGACAGTGTGTACCATCAGAAGACGTTGAACAAGTGGATATCAGAAGGCTTTCCGGTATAATTACTTGGCTGTATGTTTGCGTGAGCATGGAGTAGCAAAACATATTTAGTGATTCAAACAGGTTACAGGCCGGGAAAACCACATTTCACAATATGCATGTAACAGATAGCCAAAATTCTTAATCCTGTAAAACATTTTTTTTTAAAAGATATGGTTGTCATAATACATTAGATCATACACAACATCCTGGCTGTTTGTTGTTGTCATAATTCATTATACAAAACATCGTACACAACATCCTCGTCATCAATTTGTTGTTGTCAAAAACATTGTACAAAACGTTACTGCATTTAATCATAATAAGACATGTTTCCTAATACATGTAGGTCATACAAGAACATTTATCAATTAGATCACAAGAACATATTTCATTTCTATAATTGGCAAGCAATATCACATGTAATATACTAATAGGTATTTTAGATATATCTTTTGCTGGGTTATCACATAATAGTGGTTAATACCCTCTTAATCTGGCTTTAAACATAATAATTTCAATGATAACCAGATGGGGTTGTTGTTTTGACCCTATCCATATTAGCCTGTTTTTTCTGCGTTAGCTTTTAACTAATCTAGCCAAAAACATAATAATGTGTAGTTTGTTTGCCAAACCAGATAAAATGGCGTAAGATCACAAAACATCATTTACAAACATTCATTTTTGCCCCCTACCCAGCATTTAAAGGAGTCCGCCCACATGGTCCCGTATACTCCATGTCACTCGAGGTGTTGGTTCAGAAGTTTGGTCTCTCAGTGATGCAATACGAGCGTATTATATTTCTTTCTTCGTGAAGGTGCTGCTGTCCACTGGTCAGATAGTCTCAGGACAGCAACCCTCTGTGAGAGACCGCTCACGCTGAAAGAGCTGCTTTACTCATCTCTCTTAAGGTGTCAGGGTGGCACTTCTGGACAAGTCTCTTTACCTTATTGTGCCATCCTTCTAGATTGTTGGTACTGGTGTCCCTGGTTTTCGAAATCAGTTAGATTAATCTGGACATTCTAGGTTCTCTTTATACCCTATAAAATCATTCTGTACGTGAAATTGATGCAAATACTGCTTGAATATTTCTACGTTTTGGTGATTGATATTGCTGTGTGTGTACAGAAAATGGAGAACAATGTTACTTCCGGTAAGCACAAAATGTTAACAAACGATAAGTTGTTGTGTTCCTAAACACATTTTCACGATATCAAAGATACGTTGTACTTTATGTTTTCACCTAATGCAAATCAGCAGAAAATCTTTTTTAAAGACTGAAATCATAGGAATGATTCTTTTACAATTTTACACTCTACTACAACAGTTGTTACTTGTTTTAAGAATTGAAAAAAGGTGACTTTAGATGGTTTATGTCTGTCTCAAAGCAGAATTTTATTTCAACCTTTCTTTGGACATCTAAATCATTGTTATTGGTTTATTTCGGCATGGTCGAAAATAGGACAATTTAACTCTTCTGTAAAAAGATGCATTTCACCCAAATATGAAATATGAATGCGTTTGATAACCTTGGTTCGTGGATTTGCATAAAGCTGTGTTGTTAAGCTCTCTTGTAAACTAATACCTTCTAACATATCTTTGATAGTTTTAAGTAATTCATTAAGGTAAGAGGGTAACGTTTCTTTTTTAGTGTTTAGTGTAGGAACAGTCCTTTACCGGTATTGCTTAAACAACACGTTTGTGAGTAGGAAAGATTATTCGTTTCTTGTGAAAACAATATTATACATGGGGACACTCTTATACCGGTTACGGTAATGCCTTAATTTATTAAACTATTGGAAATGTGACTTTACCGGCTACAGCCCTGTAATTATATAATATATAATTATATATATATACCATACATATTTCTCATGTCCTGTACAATGCATATACACCATGTATGTCTCATGTAACATCTTTAGAGGAATACAAATTTGAACAAAATAAATAAAAATAAATAATAAAAAATAGACATAAAACTTTATCTGACTGGGTTTTTGTTTTAGCAATTGTATCCAGCGCAGGGGAGTTCTTAACAATTCATTTTAAGATGACAGGATATGGTATTAAGTTTCAACAGTAACATGTTTAAACAGTATATAAATTATTTTCAAAAGAAATGTTTTCTCTCTTTTTGAGAATTTGAACAGATTTGCTTTCGGATTGTGACGACTTGCTTACTGGAGAAGGGCTTGATTTGATTTCAACATATTTTATTCACAAATGTGAAAGGGATTAGGGTTATCCAACTTAAAATACCCGCTCCCTGACAAGAGAGTGAAACTCCTTCCCCTGATCATGCGAGTTAGGTAGTTGACACACCCGTTCCCGAAATAGTGTACCAGCGACCCGGTTTCAGCTTGGCAGGGTATGGATTGTAGTTCTAAATTTGAGAACAAGCTTGAATACCTTTTGAGCGAGAAGATATACTTTTCACAAGAAAAGTTTTTAAAAATTGTTTGCGTTACGAGACCGCTTGAGTGAGTGAGTGAGTTTAAGAGAATTTGGTTTAACGCTGCTTGTAGCAGTATTCAAACAATATCACGGCGGCGGACTCCACAAACAGACTTCATTTTACCCATACTGGGAATCAGGCCCGGTCTTCGTGGTGATAAGCGAACGCATTAACCACAAAGGCTACCCCAGCGCCCCGAACCCTCCATACCAGTTCCAAGTTTTGCAGATACTGGCTTTTAGATATTTCTTCTACCTATTAAAGCTAGCCATTGTGTGGAATATACTGAAAGGCAAAAGAAACGTCGTAATATTGGAAATGACATTAAGTATCAATTAAGTATTTGTTTTTAAATTTACACCGGAAGTCAAGTTCATTTGTTTTCTGAACACAGCAGCTATGGCTATGTTAACGCGAGATCAACGGCAACAAGCCATTGGACGTCTAGACGGTGGTCAACGTGCTCGAGTCATTGCTAATGACTTCAATTGCAGCGTACGAACGATAGAACGTCTGAGACAGCGATACATGCCCCAACAGCATGATGACCGTCCACGTAGTGAGTCGATCCCATGTAACATCACGTCGCCAGGACCGTCATATCGTCCATCAACACCTCTCTTTATCCTAGCCATAGCTGCTGTGTTCAGAAAACAAGTGAATGTTTGCCATTCAAGCCGGCAATTTATACCTGAATGCATGCAAGATGCGTGCATCTCGATTTCAATGTTGTCTTTGTGTGCGAACCCTTCACTTTCCACAAACAAAACATTTCTAACCTCAATCTCAAACAATACTTTTATTGGGCAAAACAGGCTATACGACCACGATTCATGTTTTTCTCAAACTTGACTTCTGAATTGTATATTTTATAAAAATATGTTCAAATGCTTCACTGATACTTAAATGTCATTTCAAGACGTTTCTTTTGCCTTTGAGTATATATACAAACGTTATCAAATGATAACACAGTCATTAAATGTTCTTTTCCCAAAACAAATCCATGGTAGTTTTATTAGAAATATTGGTTACACTATGAGTGTTCAAATATTGTTAATGCTTTTAATTTGTGAAGATAGACACAATGTTTATGCCAAATACACATACTCTCCCAAAAAGAAACGCATATAGGAATTTCAACTGTATTTTTATGTTAATTTGAAACATCTTGTAGGCTTTATGAGTCAATGAAATATAGCGAAATTGCACACTGGGAATGCAGACTTATCCATCTTTGGCACCAACTCGAGAAAGTCAGTTTGAGTGTCACATGGAGACGTGTGGTGGCGCTGAAGTCAATACCTCGTGTGACCACCGTGGGCATCCAGAACTGCACGGCATCGCCTCGGCATCGAACGAATAAGTCTCAGAATCTCGTGTTGCCCATTCGCAGCCCACTCTGCCTGTAGTGCCTGTGCGAGAGTTGCTGGAAGTGTCTGGGGTTGAGGGTTATGGCGTCGCACCCGTCTGTCCAGGGCATCCCACAGATGTTAGATCGGGTTTAAGTCCGGTGATCTTGAGGGCCAGGGGAGCACATTGATGTTGTGGTTCTGGAGGAAGTCTCTGAGTGTGACGTGCTGTTTGGGGCCTGGCATTGTCCTGTTGAAACAACTCCCTCTGGCGATCAATGATTGGAAGGAGGTGTGGGCGTAGGATTTCGTCACAGTACCGTTGAGCTGTCAGGTTGCCCTGGATCATCACCAAATCACTTCTCCTACGGCAGGTGATCGTTCCCCACATCATAACACTGTCCCGGCCGAATCTGTCCACCTGGGGGAAACGCAAGCGTCGGCGAAACGTTCACGTCGACGTCTGGTGTACACCCGCATTCTTCCATCGCGTCGTTCCAATAGAAATCGTGATTCATCACTGAACCAGATTCTACGCCAATTCGGTAGGTTCCAGGCCTGAACGTTGGTGCACCATTGAACTCGATGTCTACGATGTTGTTGTCGAAGCACAGGGCCAAAATAAGGTCTTCTGGCACGTAAACAAGCCTCTCTCAACCTGTTCCTGACGGCCTCCTCAATCAGGGTATTTGTCGAGCGGTACTGGTCGCCGTAGCTGTTCGATGAAGCAGGTGATGTACCCGGATGTAGCGATTCTGCGCCGCAGTGGTCGCTCGAGGTCGCCCACTACGAGGGGCATCTGCTACCGCATTCTGCCGGCGATATCTCTCCAGAGCCGTGAAATGGTGCTTTGGTGAACATTCATGCGTCGGGCAACTGCACGTTGAGACTGGCCAGCTTCAAACAAACCAATGGCGATATGACGTGACATTTGTTCGTCAACAATATACCAAATACAGTGGATAATCGACAGAGAGAGCGATCAACCTTTTATACCCATCATTGAGACCATCTGATCCCCAACTTTCACGTGCATTGCATGTGAATTGTGTATTCTGTCACACTACACACCGAAATTGAAAATCATGCTGTTATATGCGGGTATTTTACGGATGGGACTCATAAACAGAGCAAAACCTTTTGTAAAATGAATCACGTTTTAATTCATTTGCTATATGAAATTGCTATTTTCATGATGCGTTTCTTTTTTGGGAGAGTATATTTTGAACTGTTTAAGTTCAATACTGATTTCAACGGTATAGCGCTATTTCAGCTCTATTTGGACGAAACATCCTGAGTGTTGGAGGCGACGGCGCTGAACACGTTGATGCAACCCCCAACACGATGCATAAAATTTGTTTTGCGTTGTGACTTTGATATTTGGTGGACAAAAATATCATACAATATTTAATTTCGTACTTTCTCCTGTTTGCTTAACCTTTCTGTACACAAAACACTAAAACTGTAATTATTAGATCAGGTTTTGTCCCGCTCCTGGCTGAAATGAATCGATAATACACACTCTCTTGTGTTGACGTTCTATCAAATAATAGGATATATAAATATTGAGTAGATTCTTTGATGATTTCGAGATTAAAGTAGTGCATGCTATGTTAAACTACATTGTCGATATACCTGTGAATTTTGGAAAGTAATAACTATGAGAATAAATCCAAATTTTAAACAAAAAAGACTTTTCTAAAGGGAAACTTAGTTTGAAGTCTTCTATAAGCCACTGGTGTTTATTTGTTGTGGTGGCGGTTTATCCCGCACTCAGCAGTATTTCCAGCTATATGACGGCGGTCTGTAAATAATTCAGTCTGGACCAGAGACAATCCAGTGATTGACATCAATTTTCGCTGTTAGGCAAATATGACAGGCATGTACCAAATCAGCGAGTCTGACCACCCGATCCCTTTTGTCGCCATTTACGACCAGCATGGGTGTTATTCGGACCGTCAAGGATCTATTTCGGATGTTCTATTTTCTAACTTACGGGTAACTCGTTAACTGAGTTCCAATAATGCGATACAACAGTTACCACATTAAAAGTAAACAAAATTGTCCTTCCAACATAAAACCAAAACAGCACATCGTAGTTAAAGTGTCCTTGTGGTGTGCATATTCATCCATCCATCCATCCATTGATTGATTGATTCATATACTGAGTGGCTCCTGTCTAGTTGCATACTTTAAAGTGACCCACAGAGATATTGAGCCTATGTCTGCTGCAAGTTATACAATCTGGGTAAGATCTGTGGATATTAAGCTACAATAAATACAAGGAAGCATATTACTTCTATCTATGGTGTATATACCTGTATCAATAGCCATTGATATTTATCCTCTCGACAATATATTGGAGAATGTTATATATACAACATGTTTAGCATGAAGTGGAAATCGATGCTTATATTTTTTGACAATGTGGGATAACGTTGAACCTATAACATGTTTAACATGTGGTGGAAGTTGATGTTTGTGCCTTTGACACTTATATGGAGAACATTATATGGATACGATGTTATAATATGTAATGAAATTGAAGTTTGTACTTTCGACAATGTATAGAAAATATTATATATATGTACATATATGTGTATGTATATATGTATATATATGATGTATGTGTGTATATGTATATATACACGTATGTATGTGTGTATGTATTTGTATTTATTAGTGTGGCATGTTGGACAATGTATAGATGTTTAACATGAAATAGAACCTATAAATATCTAGAAAGCATCATATATAAAACATGTAAAACATGAAGTGGAAATAAAACTATGTCAATGTGTATATCACTGTGGACACAACGTTTGCTGAAGCCACCATACACTATGTTCTATCTAAGCAAGTATATACATTATGTAATTGAGAATGAATCCTTGTTATAATTATTTGAAACGTAAATTTCATGATGTCCCATCTGAAAAACAGATTGTGTTTACGTCAACAACGCAGTAATAATCTTAAATAGATGTTATTACTGTTAACGACCCAATCTTGCAGCTTCTCGCCACACACTCTTGTGTCTCTCCCACTGTCCAATCAAACACCCCACCACTGTCTTCTTACACCAAACAATGCACCGAGCCGTCATATTGTTCCACTGCGTGTGCCTAATTTCTACCAGTTATCTAATACATATCCTTCGTGCATTTATTCCAACCTCAATTATCGGTATATTTGATGCCCCACTGCCTGGATTATCACTCGGGGGGATAATCTCCCCTCCCCCCGTATAGGAACGCTGGACACACAAGCCATCACCGTTCCTCCCAAGCTGGAGCGCTGGTCACTCTCACAATGTGCTAGCTTCCTATAATTGCTCCGTTTTAGTCAGGATTTGTTGTTTCCAGAGTTACAGAGGCTGTTTGCCTTATTACACCGTCATTAGACTGAAGTGTTAACGATAGTATGCAGTAGTTGTTAATTAGTTTGTGTATGTAATCAGGTCATTGGCACGGTGTGTAGGTATATTTACAGTTTTGAAACTGAAGAGGGCATCATTATCTCACTACTGTTGTATAAGACACAGGGGCAGTCACAACAAGAAACTTTACACTGCCTAAAACAGGAAGACAGACACTACGGGTAAGGATTCCGCCTACAAGACGTTGTATTGGTTTATAAACAACCAGAATCATGATAACTTCCATCAACATCTTCCAAGGATGGAGATGAAGAAATTCTACATATTATTTGCTGTACTCCAGCGAGGCTACATCAATAACATTTCTGTTGTATCTTTATAATATGAATTTGGACTCATTTTATAACACTGTCGATATTTGTTTTCAGGTTAAAATGACTCCTTCTGCAATGTCCTTGATGAACACACTTTGTCTTGATAGTCCTGATCACGTGACATCTGGTCGTCTTTCTATTCCTGAAGATACCGGCGTCTTGCCTCGCAGCCTCACTTTCGATGATGACGATGACTCACGTGACAGCGGTTTCGAATCTCACGGGAGTGATACCGAGGTAAAACTCAGACTGTGTTGCCATTTCCACAGACCCAGAAAACATGCTTTTAGAGTTGGTAGATATGGGTAAACGCATAATATACTCATGCCAATAATGGTTGTCACCCCTTCAATTTTTTAATTGGATAGGGGTGTGGGTGGGAAGTGTGAGGTGTGTGTGGGGTTTGGGTGGGGAGGGGGTGACAACCATTATTGGCATGAGTATACATATCCATATCATTACCAAGAACCGAACCAACAATGCACCTTCAGGATGCATCCTAATATTTCATAACATAGGATCCTGCGGACTCTGTGATAGATTCATTTGTCACCACTAGCCCCTTTCCGTAACCTCAAAGAAGTCGCTATTCGGCTTGTCCTGGAATAACAAGAGTTGGTCACGAATGGGATAGATTAGGCCCCAGGAACCCGTGCTGGTCTTAAGAGGCGATCAAAGGGATCCGTGGTCTGACTCGGTGGTGGATTGAGCGTCACCACACCCTGACGTCGTGTATCGTTGCTCAGTTTATCAATCACTGGATTTTCTGGTCCAGCGGTCATATAGCTGGACTATTTGCCGCCTCCATCCAAAACAAAACGAAACGAAACTTGTCACAATTATGAATGTATTCCCCCTTCTCCATTTACAGGGATCCCCTCTCAATTGTTTTCTGTCGCGAAAAACAATCATCGACTTCAGTTCGGTCAGAAAATCTTTATTCTCACCAAAACGACCACGTGATGAGGATGACAGCCCAACAGCAAAGAGATCTAGAGGTGATGACGTCATGTGTCGTGAAGAGCTCTATATTTTGGAATCCCCCGAATCCATGAAATCAGCTGTGGATAAAATGGAGGCGGAAATCAATCTGATTGGCGATGGCTCAAAGGTAATAATCTATGTATGCATGGAAATATTCACAAAGAACTCAAGTTTTGCTGAAATGGTCCACGGGATCTGACGTTCATTTATTTTGGTTTGTCATATTTGATTGTATAATGGAGTCATTACTTGTTCTCCAGTGTCATAGGCTCCCGACCATCACAGGCCGACACAAGGATCTCAAGTCAGTGTCCCCACGTACAGTCAGTCAACTACTGACAGGGAAATACGATGACGTCATTTCCGGGTACCAGATCATCGACTGTCGCTACCCATATGAATATGAGGGTGGTCATATAGAGGTAAATTATAAGTTATTTGTTGATGTATGAGACTGCAATGCTGTAATATCTGTAAAGAACATGAATAATGCTAATAACGTTTATTAGACATTTTGTCCATCTTATCATCCCCAATATAATTGTTTTCACAGGGTGCCATCAATCTCCACAACGAGGCTCAAATCTCGGAAGTAGTCACCAGCCTACGAGGGAGGGAGTCGACTCAACGGAACATCCTGGTCTTCCACTGTGAATTCTCCTCAGAGAGAGCACCCAAACTGTATGTGCACATGGTTTGATCTGTCTCTGACCCTTAACTTTGATAAACTGGACCAAAGTACTGAAATAATTAAACATGTCTCAGATTTTTTACCGAAACTTGGCATCGAAGCAGTTTTACGCTGTGATGCACATTTCATACCGACATGTTCCTCATCTGATGCAATCTTTCTTAAACCCAGATTACGCCATCTGCGGAGTTTAGACCGGAAGTTGAACAGCGACCGCTACCCGTTCCTCTTCTACCCGGAAGTGTACTTACTGGATGGCGGTTACAAGGCTTTCTATGAACTACATCAGGTACGTTCACAGTTGTTGTTTCAGTAAAGTAATTATACTCGACTCAAACTTTGGCTGCGTCTAATACAGGCGCAACTTGGGGGAGGAGTAAACTTAGAAACGCCATGTCTCTAGTTGTTTTTGTCTGATTATTATCACGTATTTCACAAACGTGTGTTTTACAAGAGATCACACAAGTAAGGTTACTGACAAAGGTGCTTGTTCTTCTTTCAGCGACAGTGTCAACCAAACACCTACATTCCCATGCTGCACGAGGACTACGCCAGTCAACTACGTCACTTCCGGTCGAAATCCAAGTCGACCAAAACCACGAAAAACATATATTTGCGCAGTCGGTGCTTAGAAATAGATGTTTCACCACTTAAGTTGTCACTCTTTTGAGACTGACATTACTTAATTGACTGAGTTTGGTTTTACGCCGCTTTTAGCAATATTCCAGCAATATCACGGCGGGGGGACACCAGAAATGGGCTTCACACATTGTACCCATGTGGGGGATTCGAACCCGGGTCTTCGGCATGACGAGCCAACGCTTTAACCACTAGGCTACCCCACCGCCCGACATCACTTAACGATCACGATGACATTGTTGATATTTATACATTGTTATGTATCTTTGTTGGCCATGTTCTGCATTTTAGTGCTGGTTGTGTTTGTTGTCTAAAACCGAAATAAAGTGGAAAATGTACGCAATAATTCTTCCTTTCCAAAGTGTTTTACTTGCCGGCAGTGTAAGGGACTCAGAGTCGTGAGTTCCAACTACCAAATCATGGTAGAGAGGTAGTCTTCAGCTATAACTATCGACTCCATGTGTTTAATATTTCAAAACAGGAAAGTGTTTTACCTGTCAGAGGACCAAAACACGAAATTATTTTAAATTCATATAGGTTTCACACCAGCTTTCTCCTTGCCCAGTGGAGTCCGTTTGGGCAGTTAGCCGAGACTGGTTCGCTGGCGTCCAGGGTATATATTCTACCCATCAAAAGTTTAGACTCACTAGTGTAAATGTAGCCACTTACTTCCAGTCAACTGTTCTAAACTAGATTTTGCAAAAGAGTCCATACTGTTTAAAGGTACAGTTTACACATGAACTGGTGTATTGTAAAACAAATTCGTAACGTTGAAAAAATTGTCACGAGTTCCATAAATGATGAAACTCAGAGAAAATTGGTGAATTCTTAACAAAACTTTACACCAAAACGCAGCTGTTCACATGCATGATATTTGCACATGCTTTTCAGCAATTTGATGCATACTCCTTGTGCAATTCATCTTTATAAAGTTTGCAGTTGGTTCCTCCAAGATAGCGGAGAAATTCATCTTCAATGTAACCATATATATATATATATATAACATATAGTGAGTGTTTTAAGTGAGTCTAAACTTTTGATGGGTAGTATATTTACCGAAAGATTTATGACATAACCATTGATAACATCACATCACGGCATAGGTAGGACGCGCACGGTAAGGTATTCTTGTAAGTAAATCTTTGCAAGGAATATTTCCCTTTCTCGGTTGTATTGTACCTGTCAAACAGTAGTCCTTGTAGACCCTTGATAGTGTTGGCGGTTAGGCCGTTGATGACCAAGTAGACAGAATTTAATTTAAATAGTTTCAAACTTTGTGTTGAAAGAAGCAGTAAAGCATAAGAGAAGTGTTCAAAGCACCTTTCAAGGTCTTGGCATTGCTGGAGGAACTGGCGTGAAGTCAAATAAAACAATTATACTGTTTATGTGAAGCTTCATTACCGTGGCTCAATAGTTGAAATGGATCAACATTTGATGACAGTGTCACAGGCCAAATCTGGAATCTGTTGGGTGGATAGTTTTTTAAATCAGTTAATTCTGACAGCCATCAATCCAATGCGGCCGCAACGTGAAGTGCCTTTTGACTGGCAACTATGAATAAGAAATGTTCAGTCGAAAGAAACTTCTAAAATAAAAATGCCACTTTAAAACACATTTGACATGGATCTAAGAACAATTATGTCCATTATCTACATATACTTGTTTTCTGCGCAAAACGTACAAAGTTGCGATTTGAGAAAGCAAACTTTAAAATCAATAATTGAGGCAACAAATCCAAATATCTGGTTCGTTGCTGAAATCATGGAGACAAACCCATCCATATTTTGAAATAACTGCAGCAGCCAGATTCAGAGGACAAGATTCCAGAAGTTGTCTTCCTTACAAATGCCTCAATTGAGATCCGAACATGTTGAGCAAAACGGAAGCCATGTTCATTGGACCAAGACAGACTCCAGAAACTAGATGTGACTGACATCCCAATATCACTGGTAGGGAACTGGGTTACAGTGAGAGTGGAGTCTTTGTGATTTTTGCGACAGAAACTTTATGTCTTGTGACAGAGCCTTTGTGATTTGCCACAGTCTTCGCAATGATATGTGTTATAATAAGATAAAATGGTAATTATAGCTTTAGTTTGTGGTATTAAAGACTATAATTTGCCTAGTCAACACATAATATCATCTTGCAACTTTATAATTTACTTGAATAAATCTAGCAATAGCATGGATATAATTTTTATCATAATTTGCAAATGAAAGTCGTTTTAAAAATAAAAATGAGTAAAACATCAAGATTAACAACCCGAGAAGACCAAAATATTCACAACGAATAATGTCAAGTCTTCCACATGAAATTGTGTCATATATGTCAATATTTTAACATCAATTTCACTAAAATAATATTTTCGAAATGTCACAGAGTCTTTAACACTGGTAACGGAAAATTTGAGATTGAAAGATTCTGGTAACGGAACATTTCTATCATTTTGTGTTCATTCAGGATAAGGCAGGAAGTTGTTCTGTTGTATATAAACATTTACTTGGCCAATAAATGGTGTGCATCAGGTAATTCCAAGACGCCCACATGAACAAGTCACAAGATAAGATGATTTCGGCATTATCTCAAGGGAAATTTTGTGTGCATCATGTACAGTTTCCCAGTTTTCACATTTTATTTAAGATTTTTTAATGAGTACCTGAAAGTGATTGCAAGTCACAATATCATTACCTCTCGAAATGGAACACATACAAATAGATAGTACAAAGCCCCATTCACAATGCTTAACTCAGTGTATGAAATAAGCCAAAACCCCGGCCAGACATCAGGGCTGGTAACTTCAAAATGTTACCAGCCCAAAATGGATTAACCAGACAAAATATGGTGAATTTACTCAGATGTATGGAACATCTAAAATTTTACCAGACCATCGGGCTGGCAAGCTGTAAATTTAGACCGTCAGTTAGAAATCTAGACCGTCTCGGGCGGTCGGACGGGCCTTATTTTCATACGCTGCAAGTTAACTCACATTGTCTGTATAAAACAATTATTTTCAGAAGACAATTTAGTCAATGTTCATGATGGTTTTGATGATGATTGTGATCTACACATTGTTAAAGATAATGATGACTATCTGTCAATGACTATCTTATGATGTTCTAGTCAACATTGTCCCTACATGGAACAGTTAAGACGAAATGTGAACATTTTATATTCAGTTTAAATCACCTCGAATTATAGCCTCAAACATTCATATGATCTTTAGACACCACAGATACATTAACAGAAACGTTGAATTCCGATTCATGAACAAGATTTTACAAATTGTGTCCCGTCAATTTTATATTTGTGATTGCGAATTATCTGTGACCATGAATGAATTTTCAGTTACAATTTCATAATCACAAATTTTCTGTCACATTTGACCAATTCAGTGTTTTAGATATGTGTCTTCTTTTCGCTGATAAATAAGCACATGCTTCTTTATAGTGGGAGATAAACCCAATCTGAATGCTGACTTTGCATGCTACAATAATTTATTCAATCATCATTTAAAACATATCAATTCATTATAAAAAAGTATGAAAATCTGAACAATTTATAACTTTACAAGATTATCAAAGGTTTTCAGTGTAATATAACTATATTCCTTCCTGAACAAACATAGCATTGAGGTAACCGTGGAATTAATTCCCTTATAAAGTTGATATTGGACATCTACAGGACATTTATTGCACCTTATCCTCGCCTTGCAGTTGCTAAAATCACAGACACTGTCACAAATCCTAAAGTTTCTTTCGCAAAAATCACAGACTCCACTCTCACTGTAACCAAGTTCCCTACCAGTGAATATATATGACATCACAGTCCCACATTCCAGATCCGTGAACAATAAATATATCTTCAATCAGATCTTTCGATGGACAGACAAGTCTCAGAGCTCTGTAGAGTCTGCATCTACCATCTGCGGAACGTAGGCAGTATATGCCATCTCCTCACTCAAGACACTGCAGCAACTCTATCGAGATCCTTCATCCTGCCATGGCTGGATTATTGCAAGTCTCCTTGCTGAATCTACACAGTCAAACATTAACCGCCTTCAGAGAATCCAAAATAAAACTGCTCGTATGGTTACCAGGTCACCTCAGTCCGCCGACATAAACATCTTAAAGTACAAAAACTTTGTTGTTTTTTACTCTTTAACTATTACATATGAAAGATTTGTGGTTAGTCTTATGCGGAACACCAAATTCATTCTTAAAAACTTAATCGGTTAATTAATACCGAGCGATTAAAAGTTGCCCAAAAGTCGCCTCCTCGCCCGCCAACGAAACCACAGACAGGTTACGTAACTCTGTCGCCAGAGCACTGCAGTGACGTCATATGAGGAAGGATTTTCAGTTAGTTGTATATAAAGTGTGTAGCAAGCTCGTCATTTTGATGATTTCTCGACATCAACGAAGACATGCCGAATCGTTGCGTTGTCGTCAAATGCTCCTAGGGGTCGGGCAATGGTGTCACCATGCACAGATTTCCACAGGACCCCGCAGTTCGTGCTAAATGGGTTATGTTTGTGAGTGCGAAGCGAGCATTGTGGCAGCCCGAAACAATATCTTACTTGTGTTCAGATCGCTTCACGGAAGTTAAAGAATAAAAACTAGTTACTAGTTGTAGTAAAATATATATATGATTGATGACAATAAAGATTTTCCATGACACAACTTGTAACATAACGATTTCTTCCTCGAAAGCGAGGTTATGGTCGAAGTAACAATAATTAGCCATTACGGCTTTTACCAATCCTAGTTCAATTTATTTTGAATAAAATATGTTTACACTAATACTGTAAGTAGTATTATACTGACACCCACCTTGCTTCCACGAGCGAAATTGTTATGTTATAAGCTATGCCATGCAAATCCTATTGGCCATCAAGTAGAAACCAGTAGAAAGTAGTTTTGATTTTGTAACTCCGTGAAAACAAACCTAAATAGCTTTTATCCTCAGACTGGCGGATGTTCGCGACAGGGCGCCGCCATTTTGAAAATCGTAAAGTCACGGGCTAAAGTCTGT